GATCAAGATTTATGCCTTCGGAAGGGAAAGACTTCTCTGAATTTTTCTTCTACAACAGAACTTAGAAAATTTACTTTTTACAGGATCATTTTGGTTTTGTTTTCTCAATTGTTGCAGACGATCTTCGCAATGGGTTTTCGGATGCATCTGATTAGTGGCATTGTTCGTGGCTAGAAAAGAGTGAAATGTAACCCAAAATATTAAAAAAAAATATCTAACAGAGAGCATGGATATAGTGAATAAAATATACCTTCTACTGGATGCATTGACCTGATATCACTTTGTAAGACACTAGGGGCCTGAGTTCTGTCACTCAGGGAATCAGCATCTTTTCGGGATCGCTTCGGGGATACAATGGACTCTTCCTCAATATCCTCGAGAGAATAAGAAGTCTTTAGCATGCTTGCAGCTCGTTTTCGTGTGATATCAAGTCCATAGGCACTGTCCACCTCAGAATGAGTTTCGACGTCTGAACGAGTTTTATAGAGCCTTTCAAGCTTCTTTTTAGCTTTTTCGAACGTGGCTGTGGAAGGCAAACCACCCCTTGATGTAAAAATAATTTCGGGAATGTGCAATCTAATTCACTAACAATCTAATTCACCTGCTCTGCCAAGGATTTCGATCTCATAAATGTTCCATGAATTTTGGAAGGGGCGCTCTTCTTGCAGCCATTGTTCAAGTTTTGGCCAATCTTTTTTAGGACGATAGTCACATAAATCTTTCATGGTTTCGCGTTTTCTCACCCATCCATCAGCAACAATTTCAATGATCTTTTTCCCGTCAGTGAATTCTCCCAGGAATTCGACGAGTCGATACCGATATTTATGGCTTTCCTGATCACTCATTATCTACATTAAGCGGAAAAATTATTTCAAGTGTTGGGATGTTGCTTACTTTGATTTTGAGGTTAATTGAATGCCCTTTTTTTCTGCATTCCTTCACAAAACTTATATTTCAGTACCGATGAACAACAAAATAATTTCGTGAATAACAACATGACTTACGTAAAACTCTACGAATAACGTGGCAGTGGATGTATTGTACACATGCACGTTTCTGTGGAAACGCTAAAAACTCTGAAAATGGCGGACTAAAAAATTTAATGGCGTTCCCAAATAACTCCACAAGCGTCTTTACACAACACAACAAATCAGTCTCGTTTCTTTTTCCAATTTCCACTTTTATTTATCCACAATCGATCGAAAAAAAAATGTTTAAGCCGGCAATTTAGAGGAAGAACGCAGAAAAAACGAACGTCCACCTTGAAGCGCTCAACACCACTGAGGACATGTACTGCCCCCTCCCCTCATCGCCTTTGCGATACGCCGCCATTCCGCACCGATGCATATATGCAAGTGCTGTTAATAGTCTTCACGCTAAAAATTAAGCTAATAAATTTTCGTGGATTTTCCATCTATATAGTACTCACCGCCATAATTTAGTCAGGATCCGTGTGAAGCAGGGAAATGATGTACTCTTTCTCCTGAATTATCAACGCTATGCACTTATATTTCACCTGACTGAGTGATAAGAATTCACTAATATTGGACCACTTCTTGAGTTGAAACACTCCAATTTCTGAAGAACGACACGGCGCATAAAATACATCCTTCGTTCTTTTAATTCTGAACCCCTCCATGAAAATATTTTTCTGATTCTCCACATGATTTAAGCTTTTTTCTTCTATGTATAAATTCGTGATCCTGAATAAATTTCAATCGGTCAATTGTACAATATTATTTGGGTCATTAGTACGTAAGACAAAATCATGAAAAGTGACAGACTCCAATGAAACAAAATTTTCTCCATTTTTTAGGATCCTTTCATTTGTTTTCATTCTCTTCACATTTCGAATCAGTTCACGTTTCCTTATCCTGATATTTTGACCAGATTCAAGAGCATTTAGTGGATTGACAATTTGAGGTAAAGGCTTGGCTCTGCTGCTGACATAATTTTTCAATTTTCCAATGTAAGCCTCTTCCCAAAATGCAGAGTAATCATACAAAGCTCGAAAATACTCTGCATCATCAGGTACGTGTAATAAATTATGAAACGTCATCGTTTGGGAATCATCCCCATAATAAAGTGGCAGGATCTCAAAAAAATCTGTCAATAATTTTCTGGCTAATTTCAGATGGTTCACGACCCATACATTATTGCAGAGTATACGACATGACACGTAGAGTAGCAAGAAGTGTTGATACCTTTCTTCATCAAGGACCAATTTGAGTATCACCCCACCTACATACAGTAACAAAAATGCATACTGAGTGGCCTTCCAATGTGAAATATCTTCTGCATCGAAATTCTTCCGTTGAAACTCTGTAGGTACGAACGGCGTCACGGAATCCATCAACTCCTTAAAAACACGCACTTGAGCTGTTGTTAATTTGTATGGATTTTTCTCCCTCTTCACCCACTTTTCACCCAGGATTTTCATCGCATTTAAGAACAAACAATGCATGATGTCTATGGGAACCTGTCTGACTGAATCGAATCCAGGGATGATTATTAGAGGTGATACGAGTGGTTCTTTCGTTGCTGGATCCATCAAGTGGTGTTCAGATCGAGTTTGGGTATTGAAGGTGTTTTTTGTACGTAACGAACATTTAGTTTTTGGATAAATTCTCTTTTTGCTCCGCGTTTGACCTTCAGTCGTACATCGTTCACACCCATAGAAAGCAGTCGCACCTTTGATACATTTTAAAAATGCTCTAGCTGGATTATCAGCGATAATAGTTGCTATTTCACATTTATATTTTTTACCATCAATATTTATTCCCTCAGTAATCAGGTTTCTCAATTCTTCCACAAAATCTTTCAAATACAGCGATACATTCTTGGGCTTGGATTTCCCATAAAAGGGAGCTACCACAAATGGAGTTGTCACATACTGAGAGTGAAGAATTTTCATTGAAATTGGCCACATTTGACCCTTTGAATGAAAATAAACTCTCATTCCATCTACATGTGCCACAACACTAATTGTTTCTTCTGTGTACACATCTGGAACAATTCGTTTCTGTAGGCCATTCTCAATGCCAAGATACACATAATCACCAATTTCATTTTTGTGAGTGAGTAGATTTTTCGCTTTTATCTTATGTTTGAAGCCCAGCAATTGGTGAGCAGTCTGTGGCAGATCTGTAAAGCCCACGCTCTTCCATATTTGTAACATTTCAGTCACAGCTTTTAACTTTATGGATCCAATATTATTTATAGCCCATGGGCGTATCATCTGCTCCAAATTAGAGGGTTCAGGAGATGCTGCGTTCTGCTCTCGAACCATTGTTGGCTCCTCTACTCCATCCTCCTCCTCGTCCATGAAATTTCCTTGATTCTCCGCACAGAAAGTTAAATTTTCTGTGAAACTTCCAACAGGAATGTCATTCGACGAAGAATCGTCACTAAAACTCTGATGGAATTGGTCTATGCACTCTTTGAGGTTACATTGATCGATGTCAACCCAATCATTCTCATTTTCTTCATCAAATGCAGATGATAATTGTTCAGGTAACACCTCATCATCACTACTGTCGAAGCTATTAGATACATAAGACTCTCGGAATTTCGTCAACATTCGATATTTTCTCACTCTTTCAGTCGATTTAGGATTACTGCGTGTATTTGATGCCATACTATTAACAATAATCTAACTACTCGTATATGGAAGGTTCTATACTCGGTAACTCGTTCTGAGAAGAAGTCATGAGGCAAAACACTGACACAATAACTGTTTTTTTTAAATAACTACAACTATAAAGTTACCAGCATGTGATCTCTGACGTCAGCTGTACAAGGAACTATACTGTATAGTGAATCCTATACTAAGAGACACTAGGCATTATCATGGCTTGGGTGACGGTCTTGAATACAGCCTGGGCCAAGCTTAGTAAGTACAGGCTTGAATACCAATCCTGAGCCTAGACTGGGCCAGGTGTGGTATCTAAGGCTCATATTTACCAATCTTAGATATAGACTGGTAGCACCATCGGCGTAAGCCAGGGCCAGCCTGGATAAACCAAGGCTTGGAAATCAAGACTATTCCAAGCTTGGACCGGTCGTCAAGGCTTGGCGCTTCCTACCTGGGTAGTGGGAGATTCTCTTTGTGGTGTTAAAAGCTTTGGTGCTTTCTATCAATAAATTGTTTTGATTATTGTAATGAATTATGTTTCATTGTTTATCAGACTTTCTAATTTTATCATTTATTTTTTATTTTAGTCAATATTGATGCGATCAGAATTTTTGGGAGAATTGTCTTTGCGCCGAACCGTAACCAATCTACCAATCTTATTGTGCTGTCTCATGTTCAGATCAGATAGGGAGATTAATTCGGTGAATTGACGTAATTTGCAAAATATTGAAATTATCTATATTTTTCCTTAGACTGCCCCATATTTTGCACTGTCTGTCACATATTAAATACAGATAGGTTGCTGTGTCATCTACATATATTTAAGAGGCTCAATGATGACAAATGCATTCTTTATGTGCAACTAGGTCGACAGCAAAGCGCACGCGGAATGTGCGTGCTATAGGGAAAAATCTGTTAAGGTTTAATCATATCAGCTTTTCTCATATAAACTTGTTCAATTTAGAATTGATCTAAAATTTTTTTGTCCTTTGTTCTTTGTCTTGTTCTTTGCTTTGAACGTTCTCTGAAACGCCTTACTCGTTCTCTTCCTTAACAGCGCGCTCACGTTTTACTATCTTTCGTTATTTTTGTATTTTACACGTGATCTGTTTTTTTCCTTTTCTCTCTTTAATTATCGTATTGAAACGGCTGTCTATGCTCTTCGGTTGTTCTCTTATTCAAATTCTTTCCAGACCATTTTTGGGTTTCTTTCCTAGAATTTTTTCTACAACTTGTGCCATCAGTGAATTAACTTTACTGATTTTTACCATTTCTTTCTCTTACTATTTTCGATTGTTGTTTCTAAGTGAAAACATTAATTTCTATGTATTTCCGAATCCGATTTCACACATACCGGCATCCATTACTGTGGTTGGTAAAAAAAACTTGGCCTACAAATTTGAATAAACAGTTGGGGGTAATGCGCACTGACTTTCGATTGTAATTTTTCTACAGAAAATACAAATCGAAAATTGATTTATTTGTAATAATGAAGGAAGTATTCTTTCCGCACCGGAAATTCTGAGACGTTTCGAGACATTATATTCGTAATATCAGATTCAGGGTCCAATATTACGAAATCATAGAAACAATATGACAAAAAGTGCTAATGTGATATGTGATATATTTCACACCCAACCAATATGTGGAAGATCATGACTCGAATGTGAATGACGGATACAGGGGTGGAACAAAAACCATTTGAAAGTGGTTTCACTAAGCTTTAAAATGGTATAACATATCTTTACCTTAACCGAATGCGCAATGTATCGTGCGATGAGAGCTTGAAAATATGATCTTAATAGAAATGGGCGAGTGTTACACGATATTTCATATTTGAGTTTAAATGTTTAGGAATCCGAGCATAATTCCAGCAGCCAGATGAACGAGATCTCATATACAAGTTCATTTTTCTTGTTTTCAAATGGCACTACATATCCATTGTGTATCATAAGATGAGATGCTGAAAGAACCTCGGAAAGAACTCTCAAAATAAAATCTGGGAGCGTAACATTTTAATGTTTAAAATGCCAGAACTTCCGTATGGCCGGCATACAGGCATAAAACTTCAACCATTAGAAATCCACTTTCATCAGCTTCAAAATGATATATTTTTATTTAATTATATATGTTTCAATCGAAAGAATACAGGACTTAGATGTGAATACATGAATACGAGAAATTGAAATAGATGGGTATTTCCGACGATAACAAAGGTTATCATGGGCTTTATTTGTCAGAAATTACTATTTTTTAAAGCGTGCAATTCGACACATCATCATCGATAACTTTTATTTCTTCATTTCTATTGGTTTCCTTTGAAAATATAGAAATTTTGAGGCAAAGGTGAAATTTAGGTTGAACATAACAATGAAATTTTATGTTAACAATGCTATAACGCAGTTAAGAATGGTGGTAATTACATAACTCACCCATTTGTCTGGACCTTATTTAATTAATCAATTGAGTACACTATAGATTAGTTTCATGCGAAAGGACGACAGCAAATAGCCAATTCATTTACTGATTGATTGATATGCAAAATTCTTATTGTAAAGTCAAAAAAGGGTAAAATCAATGCTTTTATACGCGGATTTAACATTTGATATGGAATTGAATATTGATGGTTCATCGATTCAATATACATTGAATGAATTCATCAAGCAATTAAACCCTGATGAAGAAGTATGAGATTCTTTAGTTAATGCATTAACATAACTTCATCTGAGTATAACGGGAAATGCCTATTTTCGAAATATGGTCTTGACTAATAACTGTCTTAATCTTTTAAAATTGCAGATAATTATCCTGAGAACGAAGACCCATGCTAGCAAGATGCTTTAATGTACTCCCGGATCAAAAAACCGTCACCAAGCTATCCCTTCACCGAATACACAGATCCTTTGCTGAACGTGAGTAAGTTACTTGATCAGTCAAATTACGTATTATTCGTATTACAAATTAAACAGATTTTATTTTTCTTCGTTCCTCTCCGATATGAAAAGTCATTCCGGATCGTAAATTTTCCCTTTTCTCAGTGCATATTGATCAATACATGCAGATTAAAACAAATAGATTTCTTCCTACTAAAATGGAAATATTTAAAAATGTAAATAAATTACAAAAAAAAAGTTTCTACCTTTTTTTTGCATGTTCTATATGAAGTCAGGTATTCTAACGATTCTAGAATCCCATAAAATTTCAAGCGTTTATTAAGGATGTTCCACACATATATACCCAAAATTGATGCTTTTTTTAATTTTTTGGGTAACTTATCGGAGGGATTGATATATCACACTATAACGATTTTGTGTTTTTTCATTATTAAATAGGTCACGTGTCATCATTTTCATGGATTTTCTCTATAGTTTTGTAATACTTTTTCGACCGTTTAGAAAAAACGCCTATAAATGTTCGCATTACCTTGAAATTTTGTCAGTCATTAAATAATGACAAAACGCAAAAACGGTATATTTTTTCACGTCAATCCAATAGTAAGTTAGCTAGAAAAACGCAAAAACATTAATTTTGCTTATACATGGGTGTAGCAGACCTTTAGAAGTATCTGCGAGTTCAAATTCAATTTGGAATTAATCCCGAACTGTTGCAGCAAGTCGTAGCGTTGCCAGTAATGAAATCCTTTTGGTAGAACAATCTAATTCTTTGTTCTGTACTTTGACCCTTAATTCACAAACACTCATTAAAAAAATGCCTACGCCGATTTGAAGCCGCGTTGGAAAATATTTTAGAAATATAGAAAATCTTTTCAAAAAATAACGCCTCACAAATTTTCGGGAAAATATGATTTCCTGAACCTCTCAGAAAAAATTTTCTCCTGAAAAAACGAGTCATCCGGCGATCTTGAAAAAAGCAGGTTCCGAAGAAACCTGCAAACCCCTACTAACTGAACCAGTACTGGACCGCCTGCTAAAGTTAAAATTTCAAGGATAAAAAATGGTGAAAAAACGTCTTCTGAAGGTAGAGAAAAAACTTTCTTTCGAAGATTAAATAAAAATTATCTTCCTGAGATCTTTGATATAAATTTTCTACTGAAGATTGGAGGAAAAAAATTCCTTCTAAAAATTTTTAAACAAAAAAATTCTTTTGAAGATCTTCTAGAACATTGCTTCCGAAGATCTTCAAAAACAAATTATCTTCCAACGATGAAGGACGAGAAAATTTCTTCTGAAAATCTTTATCATAAGCTTTTGAAAATTGTTCCGAAGAAATCTGGAAGAAATTTAAAAGCCAGTTATTTCTTGAAAATTGATGGGTTGGTTCAATTGGTTGTTCACGAGATAACTCCATAGTTGATACCTTGAAATGAGTGCGCTCCATACCTTAACTCTGGTTCACTGAGAGAACGATTAAGTTGAGTTCACACAGGCTCGGTAACTATTACCTAATTACGCAGGAAAATATCACCAACTGAATCGGGCGGCGATAGTTACCCAACGGTTCAGTTGAGAGGGTAGGACTGCTCCAACTGGATGATGAGCTAATAGTCACCGAATGGCTTGGTGGTAATATGATCAGCAAAAATACATTATGTCGCTCATCTAGATGATGCGTTGATTCAACGGCAGTTCTGTAACTATTACAAAATTCTCACTTTCCTCCAACGGCTCTTGGTTCATGTCAACAGAAAAATTGAACAAAATCAAATACGGTTAAAATCGGCTACCAGTCGAATTAACTATTATTCGTTGCATTCATAACTGAAAGCTCGGTTACGATCAACGAATTGGAAAAAAATGCTCCACCGGATATGTCAGGTTTCTATAATCTAATCCTGCTATTAGTGTATAAATAGAGAATATTAATCAAAGTATAAATTCCAGGAGCCAAATTTGTAGAGATAGTGGAGCTAGTACTTTGACTATTATGAAGGATTTATTTGGATCGCTATGAACGTTTTGCTGCTTGATAAACTAGTCATTACGTTGTGCATTATGTAGATGGCTCCGGGAGAGATTCAGCATGTTTCTTTGAAATCAGAGCACCTGCGTATGAATTGTCGAAATGCGATTACCACGAAGTCCGGTGTGTGATGGACAATCACACAATGCAGGAATGTTATGCTAATGAATATGCCTGTCACATATGGGTACCATTGAATCCCGTGCCCTGGGTTGTCTACAGAGGCTTTGTTTTCTCATAAAGTCATTACGCTTGATTATGAAAATTCGTGTGCGCAAATGTTGGCATTAACATTAGCATTTGGATTTACTTGATATTACTGGACTATACATCTGTTCAAGGTGTGGATGATATTCTTCATAATTAGGGACGGATTTTGTGACTCTGGCATTTGATAAAGGAATAAATCATTGAAAAATCTTGTACATGAAAGACAAGCACATCTTCGAGGTGAGTAAGATGCTCATTAACACTCAACTATAACAGCTACGAGTATTAGCCCTTTCATTTTCTCCCCGAAATAATGAACTTTTAGTTGAGGTAATTATGTTTCACGGGTATTGTATGAAGCGAGAAAAGTTCTACTTCCATTTGAAACTTCTAAAAAACTAATCATTCCCACCGAAATGATGGAAGTGCCGACATCGTCAAAACTATAATCACGCACAATATATTGATTTCGCCTGTAATATCTACATTTTGTGTCCATTTTTGTATAGGGGGCGTCGTTCACACTAAAATTTGAAAGTGCGTTATTCCCCATTTAAGGCTGTTGTCGCGCGACAGTCTCTGTAAAAAGTTTATCCGCTGTAAAACGGGCCAGTTTAGAACACAATCTTTTAGCGGTATATAGTCTCACTTGATTGATTGCAGTGTGCATGGATAGCTAAAGCATAACTATATATTTTCCATATTAACTATTTTCAATTATATAAATTTATGAATTTCCGATAATTATATTCCGTGAACCAAGCGGTCAATCGATTTGATTTTTTTTCTGTATTTCCTCCCACGATGTATATTCCACGTTTTTTTTTATTTCTGAAACTGTCGAGCCGTTGATTTTTAAAAAATTCTAATCGACAAAACTCCATTTAAACACGTGTTAAATCACTCGAATTTCAAAAATTTATATCTCAAGTTCAAAACGGTCAATTGCAAACGGAAAACGCTCATTTTGTTGCTAATTTTTCAAACTATTCACCATAAAATTTTTAACGAAAACTGTCGAAAAAAAATTCTACGCGACAACAACCTTAACTTTAATATACCCATGTTTTTTCATTATCCGGCCATGAATCTAGGGGCTGGGATTGATAAATGGAAAAAATTCCGGGGAAAACAATGGCATCGTAGAGATCCAAATTACTCTACATATTTATATGTATTCCACGTTTCAGAAGTTTATGCCCCTAGTTTATTACCATTTTTAATTTATTGTTAAATTTTCCAATTTTTCTAATGACCTTAAAAATTTTAGTGCTTTAATAAAATTATTTTTAAAAAACGATATTAAAAAAAAATTATCATAAGCTAAGCTATCCAGGGAAAAACGATGACACTTTACGCCTGAATTTTGCCAAGAGTGATGACTACATTTTACGAATTCTTAGAAATTCCAACCATTTATCATAAAAAATTGCGATAGCAATTTTTTCCGTCTGCGCCGATTTTCTTTCATATCGACTACCCCTTTTCTATAAAAAAAATTGAGAGAAAACTGTTGAAATTCGAAGGCCATCATCATGAGTATGATCGGAATGACCATACAAAATATACTTGATTCGAGTATTTTTTTCCCATGCCTCATAACGCTTTTATTCAGCTTCAAGACAAAAACACTTCTTATTAAATTCATCGGTATTCTCTTCCGCCACATTAATTCGCAAACCCTGAACCTGACGAAATTTATTAGCAGATGCAAAACAGAAAATAGAAAAAAGATGAAAAACAAAGGAGAAACTTCTGCAGTTTCTCTTCAATTCTCATTCGGGGCACGAATTGCGTCTCAATCTTTTTTCATTTTCTTTCCAACTTCCCTCACTGCACACATATACCACATTGCTTTAGCCCGTTCCAAATTTTAAAGCAGAAGAAAAAAAAAATATATAACACCTAAACAATGATATACCCCGTCTAACGAAAATATAATTGTGAATTCATTAGGCGGAGAAAAGAAAAGGGTTATATACATATATATAGATGTATACAAAAGTTAAACGACACGAGAACTTTTGGATTCTGAAGATTTTAGCATTTGTTTACAAACATGAGATTTTCATTGTGAAACACCCTATGAGAAATGAAAACCAGTCAAAATAATAAATTCATCCGATAGATAATCCACAAGTAAATAATCCATGTTCGCAACCGAGCCTTTTTCTTTAGTATTAGAGGTATTTTCCTCTCCTTTGATCCATGACAGAGGTGGGCAACCTCAGGTAGGCTCGGAGCTGATGTAGCCGTAAACTGATTAAAGTTCCAATTATAAGGGACCTAGCGTAATTACAACGTTTATCATATATTCGTGTGGTGTGGGTAACATCAGAAGATAACGCATGCGCGTGATTGAAGTGCGAGGGCTTACACATTTTCTTTAGGCGTAGCGCCGAGAGCTAAGGCCCACCTCTGCTATAGTTTACGGAAAAAATATTAATATTTTTTTCTCGAACAACCGGTTTAAGCTTGGCTCAACTTAGACTTGCCTAGGCTTTGGCAACCAAGCTTGGGCCATATTTCGACTTAGGAATATATTCCTAGAAATTCCATTGCAGATTTTCATATTACACTTTGAATTTTGCTAATTTTGCAACGTCCAAATGCAAAATGAATCATTTTAGCCATAACATGAGAAAATAAATTGTCTTTTGAAATTGTCAGAATATTGTTCGTCCCTCCAAAATATTGTATTTTACTTACTGGATTCAGGCAAATATCGTCTAAACACACAGTGATTGTCAAGGGTGACTTCTCATCATGAAAGTATTAAAACAATT